CATTAGAATATATGATGACTTTTATTATTACTTAATATAGAAGCAAACTATGCTGTGTTCTTATGTTAAAATCAAGAGATGAAATGATTAAAATGAACAGTTTTGTTANAAATCAGGAAAGGTCAAAAAACCAAGGAATTTTTCAAAGGATGATCTTTCCCAGATATGTCTAATCTGTCTCTCATCGCCTATGATGGGTCTGGAAAAAAGGCCCTCATAGTGCCTACAAGATAAAAACAGAAACAAAGAGACTCCAGTCTCCAATGCACATGTCAACTGAACTAATTGTTCAATGTTGTCACAGCATACAAAGCACTCACTGACTATAAGAGAAAGTAATTTTTGAGTTGGAGTGAACATTGTTTGTGGCATATACCAACATCTGCATTGTCAATGACAACAAAATTGATGTCATAAGAATTGTGGCCAACATTAAAGTTGAAAAACATGCCACAGTGGTTCTTGCAACTTCAATAAAGATGCAAGCAATGTGCTTTGTATTAAACAAAATATAATTGTTATTGAATTTATGAGACCAAGATATGATTATATTACGTATTAGCCAAACTCATTAACCATGAAATATCTATCCTTGTCTAGAGGAATGCAAATCTACTTCACATTAAAGTAGACTCTGCATAAATTGATAACACATGGTTTTGACTGTATTTTATTCATTTCACTGACCTTATTAAAAATATCTATTATTTAATTCTGCTTGTTTCATTTGAATTGTGAAATACACACACAAATCTTAAAAAGTTTGATATATTTTTGATTTATGATACATAAATTTTTAAACAAATAAAAACACCTTTAACTAAAGGCCTTAATTTAATATTACATAAATATTTTTGAAATTTTTTAGTTATTGTAATCAAATGCATATTTTGTCTTTTGTTCAAGTGAAGCATTTGAGAATAATAACTAAAAAGTTATCTATGTTAAATTAAAACTTATTTAATTAAAAAAGACATTCCTATTTGTACTTAGAAAGTTTCTGTCAAATATTATCATGGATAGCACCTACTCAAGAGTTTAGGCTGAAGAAAGGAAGTGAGTGAAGGAATAAGAAAGAGGAGAATTCTAGCAAGTATATAAATTCAAATCTTTGATTTAAAATTTACTTGACAATGCATCCGGTATATTTATTAAATAATATTTATAAAATACATAGTTACAGTAATGCAATTCTACTAATATAACTTGACAAATTAAATGGAATAACAAATTTTAAAAATATCTATTTCTTATCAAGTCAATTTTAAAATCTACAAAGTATTTAAATGCTTTATAAATCAAATAAATTTCCAGGATTTCAACACTTAAAAAAATATGAAATCAATACAAAGTTTTTCATCTCTATGTTACAATTTTCTTACTTAATTCATAAATTTTGTCAATTAATATTGATTTTAAAACAAAGTATTATATTCATTTAGCTAATTTGAATCTTTGATATATTGCATTTATAGAAAATTGCTCTTTTTCATTACATTGAGAAATCTACAAATACACATTTAATATGCACTTTTACAGTATACTGCTTAAGGATGGAAAAATATACAAACTTCATATGCATGTAAATATGGAAACATTGCTTACTTGACATAAAAGCAAACATCATTATTCTTGTAATATTTACTCAATAAGTAGCATTATAACATATGTATAATGTTACTCATTATTATGAATTTTTTTGTTTGGAAAATACAGTACAGTGGGTGATCGGTTAATGAACACTTCCGCAAAAGATTTTTATGATCGGACAATGAATACATGTTCAGATAACAAACACTTCACTGAACAAACATAAAACGAAGCAACGGAAAATAATGAATGCCAATTGATTTTTCCTTGTCTTCAGGTAACAATTTGAAACCTTTCAGAGTGCAGGAGATGTCAACATCGACGCTCAACCCAATACTGATCAGATAGTGTTTCCCTGAACTCTCCATTGAAATTCCAGCTTTTTGTTTACTTTTCTGACAAATAATTTTTTTTATAGTCTTTGCGAGACTGTCGGGCACTCCATAAGTTTTGCGTCAGTTTTTATTTTCTAAAGGTGAGAGTTTAACTGTCCTAACGGGTATTCGTTAACATTTTAACACCAAAATTTCAAATTACATTCGGGCCTCATATTTACATAATTCTTTCATGTGCTAGTTGATTTCTGTTCTCTGAATTTTTGTGAATGCTTTTCTGAACTTTTTATTTCAAACAGAAATTGATAATATTATGGAGCATAAAAAGAGTGGTGTCAAGAACCGTGCTCACCATAGAAACCAAGCAAGAGATAATAGCCAAAGTAGAGAGTGGGCAGAAGATGTCTGATGTTTCTAGGCAGTATGGCAGTATGGTCTACAGTAGGCACAATCTTAGCTCTGAAAGATATATCAAGAAGTCTCAAGCTGCTAATGGAGTAATGAAAATCACATCTGAGAAATAAAGAGAATTTTAGAGTTTGTAATGGAACCTGAAACTGATCTGATGACAGAAGAACACCAAGAACTCTTGAATGAAGAACACCAAGTAACTCTGCAAGATATGTTTTCTTCTGAAAAAGAGGATTAATGCCAATAACTACTGTTAAATATCTTTTAAAGAAGTGGGAAGATGTCACAACAACTGTCTTAGAATGGCATCCAAACCAAGTTGAGGTTAATAGGCTTAGGAAGCTCTACAATTATAATGCTATTAATTATTTCTGAAAAATCACAAAGAAGAGAGAAAAGCAATCAACATTAGACAGATTCTTTAACCCCACAAACAGAAAAACATTAATAAAAATCAAGACTGTGTATATATGTACTTTTATTATTACATATAAATAAATGTAGTAAGAAAGTATATATTTTTTTATTTTTTGGGGTCTCCAGAATGAATTAATCAAATTCCCATAAAAACCTATGGTAAATCGATAATCGGTTAACAATTCAGATGAAAAATCTTGGAATGGATTATGTTCGTTAACCTATCACCTACTGTACTTCAAAACAAGCAATGAAAGAATATTTTAAATACTTTCCCAACATTTAATATATTTATTTCATTTTCTTTTAGTTTAAATATGTATTTAAAATCAAAATAAAATGGAATGAAAATTTGTATAATATGCGTAAAAAAGAATGTAAAAAAACATTTATGCATGTAGATTAAATAAATTAGAATATTTAAGCAATTCAAAAATATTGAACATATATATATATATATTTCAGATAATTTGATTCAGATAATTGTTTCATATTATTAATACTTTGATTCTGATAATTAAAGTCCAAGCAAACTGGATATATTCATTTTTGTTTTTGACTCTTTTTCACTAAGACTTAGTTCACTAAAGAGAACTAAGATTTTTGATAGAAATAAAAATTTCTTCAGAGAATATATCCTATCCAAAATTTAAAAATTTAGTAAGTATTTTAACTCAAAGCATTAAATAGTATAATTGTATAATACATGCCACTGAATTACATGCCAATTTTTGAAAAGTAAGATCCTGTTAAGACAGTTCAATGAACTTTAATCAATTATAATGCCATCTGGATCTGTCTCTCTTTCTCTAATATGATTATTAGAGAGAGAGAGAGGTCTGTATCTGTATGAAAGATCTGTTCATCACATCTATAGAGAATAAAAGGAATTAATTTTATAGATTTATTGAAGGCAAAACCAAGTAATAAGAATGATATTGCTGCAGATCACATTGCAACTGTAATGAGATACAGAAGACACTATAATTGGTTTAATCTTCCTCCAACCAATTACAATATAGTATAAACTGCCTAAGGAATGCATTCTGAATGCAAATTGGAAGATTATCTGCTTATTAAATAAATCCAAAAATTTTATTAAAAAACTATGAAACAATTATATATATATATATATTTAATTTTCAATATTGTAAAAACAAATCAACATTCTCTTATACATGTAACTATATAAAACATTTTAAAATGAAATTTAAACAACAAAAAGAATCCACTTCAACAAAAAATATCACATTAACCTAAGGCATGTTTTTATTTTCAAAACACTAATAAATATGATATGATGGTAAAATGACATACTGAAATTTATAATTTAATTATTGATAAATTGAAATTAGCAAGTTTCTATTTTAATTGGAAAAAACTTTCATGAAAAAATTTGTATATTAAAAGTTTAAATAAAGAATTGGATATTTTATATATATATTTTTTAAATAATGGTCTAAGCTGAACTTTAATAAAATTAACTAACTTCAATTACAATGTTTTAAAACTTGCAACAGATGTTAAAAGTATAATTAAATCTGAAAGGTGTTAAGTCTTATAATGACAAAATACTTGAAAATGACAAGAGAAAAGTTAAACAAATCATACAGGTGTCAACTTACTTTAATTGTTAGGCATATAAGTTAAACTAAGCATGCCTAATTACTTCAATTTATGTTGAAAGTGGACATAGAGAAAGGAAAAGTACATATTTGCTAAGAATCCAAGGCAATAGACTATTGTAAGAAAGCTAATTCAGGCATACCTAAGTAAACTTTAAATAAATGAAACTTTTTAAATATATTATTTAATAAAAGAGTATATATTTATTGTAGTATATGCAATATTTAAAAATTTAAAAACGTGTTTATCTAAAGACTAGAGATTGCATTATGATATTGAAATTGGCTGTTTTTTTTTTACTTAAAAATGAATCAAAAACTTTCAAATGTTAAAATATTTTATGATTAAAAAAGTACATCACCTATTTTTTTTCTTAATATTTTATAATTTCAAAACATCCATCCACATAATCCAAATAAATTAACTGTTGAAGGAAAACAAAAATTAAAAAAGTAGAGGACAAACTGAGAAAAAAAATGAAATATCTGATGCATATAATTCACAAAAGACTGAAACACTAATATGAAATAAAACTAATCAACATGTTTTTAAAATAAATAAATTTCCAAATTATAATGAGTATGAAAATTAATAAATTTTCATACTTATGAGTCATAATACCTGGCTTTGTAGGGACTTTTGGAGTTTTGATGGTTTGGGGTAGTTTATTTCCAATAACTTCAACACATTCACATGGAAAAAATCCAACCTAAAATATTTTTGTTTTTAATTATGTAGTCATTAATCATGAGAATTTTAATTTTAAAAATTTATCATACCTCAAAACCTTTCTTTCCTCTCCACCAAGTGGATTCTTCGGGAGGTGGCATATCTATAACAGATACCATATCGCCTACCTGTAAATGCAAATATTTATTTCCGAATATTATGTATATGTATTTGTAAATAAAATCAATTCAAAATAATAAACAGTTTTTGTTTATAATTAAAATATATAAAAAATAAGCACAGTTTAAAATGCAAATATGTTATATTCAATTAAAAATTTGGACTTACTTCAAATGATATTTCATCATTTGCCTGTGCAGAATATCTTTTAACAACATAAGCTGCAGCAACAGCTGGTGTATTTATAGCAGCTTCATCAGCAACAATCAATCGATTCCCTCTATTGTCAAGCTAAAGTTGGTTCAAGCATTTTTTTCATTAAAGAATTTTTCAATTTTGGTAATTTCATTTTCTTAACAAAAAAAGTAAATTAATAAAATATAATACAGGCTGTAATTTTAATTTAGAAAATTATAAATTTTTTATGTTTTATTAATGGATAAAAATAATTTAAAAAGAAATTTACTTCAACATGTATACATAAAGATTGTAAAAAGTAGTTTTATAGATTAATCTTTAGTAGCATATTAAGATTTTTTTCTACACAGAGTTATAATCAGTTTCTATATATCTCAATAACTTTTTACAGAAATATGTTTAAAAAACTTTATTATTATTGAATTTATTGAAATTTTCAAAACTAGATTATTCAATATACACATTAACCAAAGGCAGTTTTAATTATTTGTCTGTAAAGTAACTAAGAATAACCAATATATTTTCAGAAGTATGCAAAAAAATTACTTCCAATAATCTTACAACATATATCAAATAATAAGTATATAAATAGAAAAAAAAACATTAATAATTAAAATTTACAATTTA